ACGAGCAGCTGGATAGAACAGGTGGAATTTACGCAGCTCATTTACACACTTTTCCTGAAGATAGAAGAGTTTGTTGAATCTGACGTGACATGTTCGTACGATCCCCTCTCACGAACAAAAGTAAGAGAAATTCAGGATAAGAATACGAACATGTTCTTGCATGAGGACCATTATGTTTTTTTAAGAGAAGCATTAGCATCATGTGCCAAATAAAATGTTTCTGAAGAAAAATAAATTCAAATAAAACAGTTGCAGAGAATATTGTTGTTTCATGAGTAAGCATTACAAAAACAACAGCATACATTGATACAATGACAGAAATATTAACTTAAATATGCTTTAATAATAATATTGTCATGAAAACAAACGATTTGCAATCCTTCACCTTGGTATTTGTTTCTTCGTCAGCCTCAGAAATCTCTGACAGTAAGTCTTCAAGGTTCTGCTCTTCTTCGTTGCCATAATCAGTATAAACGACAACACAAGTGCCCCTCTTCTGGTCTATGGCAGAAATAGTGGCTGCATACAGCTGGCCATCTTCTGACCAGTAAGCACAGCAGGAGTCTCCAACCTGCCACTAAAATACAACATAAAGGGGCGTTAAAGTTAATTTGTATTAGTTATCTGTTGGTTTAAATTTAAATTTGCCCAAAACCTTAATGAAACACAAATTTACTTCACTGAAGTGTGGTGAAACAATTTTATCACCGATATGATTTGAACTAGGGTTGGGCATAATCGTACAGTGTGCAATTAATTGTCAGAAAAACATTAAATCGATTATTTTTTGGCACTTGACCATTAATACGATTAATGCCAGCAGGCAGAGTGCGCTTGGTGCTCGTCTCTGATTCAATTATGACAAACATTAAAAGTAAAATTCTGTAATTTATTTATCTATCAACACAATTTAAAATATGATGTTTAGCCTGAAATCTGTAATTTTCACACAATTTGGAACAATTTTTTTTTATAAAGATCAAATCTTTCCCACTAAATTGGTCATGCGACTACGAAATACGGGTGTCCAGGGACTCCAGGGGATTAATCGTCAAATTAATCGTTATCGGCTAAATACCACAATTAATCGTGATTTATTATTTTGCCAATATTGCCCAACCCTAATTTGAACTATATTTTATTATGTCAAAAGATAAATAAGTTTGTATAAAATGACACAGCATCGACTTCAATCAAGTAAACCCCAAAAGGTGCATTTTTCATGCATTTTTAAACTTTAAGGCTCAACAATAAAATAACACTACAGTATACTTAAACACACAAATTTAAGGTTTACTAGGTTGAAGTTGATGTATGGTCGATTAGAGGTTGAGGCTGTGCCAAAGTAACTGTCCAAAACGTGATACAGGGTTTATTTTAACTGCACTTTTACTTGTAAAATTAATCTTATTTTAGTGCTTTACCTCTTTCTCTGGTGCTGTATTGGTTCGTTTTCTGGTCTGGTTCTTTTTGTTGTTCTTTCTCTTTTTCCCTGGTTTGTTTTTCTTGGCAGTTTCTGGTTCATCTTCACCCTTGAGAGCAGTCTGGCCAACACAAAAAGAAGGAGCACAAAGCATGAAGGGTGGGAAATCATTAGACGGCGCATTAGGAGACACAAAAAGTTCCCCAATTTTACCTTAAACGATGCAACTGCCTTGTCATATGCCTTTATCAGTGCAGTGTCGTCCCATATATCCGAATCATCGCTCTGAAAAAGAGTAATTTAGAAATTGAGCTGCTTAACTTTGAATATCTCTGTGTGTGGCTTTATTCTTTGGTTCATTTCTGTGCAAGTCCTATAAAATCAGTCAGGTGCATTGCATGTTTTATGTTCGTCATCTTTTGTTTTTCAAGTTGCTAAACTCAACGTTGATGATTTGTAGCTTAGCTTGTTAGCTCCCAACCTCAAAAGCATCAAAAACAAGCTGAAACTATCTCGCACATGTCCCGTACTGCTCAAGAACGCTTCAAACTCACCTGTCCAGTTCCACGGGTGAATAATACGTCCTTGCATCCATTCGCCATGTGAAAAATTTTTGAATTAAGGTCCACTTGTTAGCTAAACTACCCTAAAAACGTGCGTCGGAAGCGGATGATAAACTGTGACGTATATATCATGCGACGCTGTGGTTGGCTTGGCAACGGTGAGCGCTTAATTCAGACAAGAAGTAAAAACGCAATAATACTGATAAAACCGCTGCTATTTCCTTCTAAAGTTAGGCACCGCGTGACCAGGTCGTTATGACTGACTCAGGTTTTAGCTCTTCGGATAAACAAGTCGTCCTTGTTTCATCCAGCGATGAGAATCACCCTCCAGAAAACATCATCGACGGGTCAGTGCTGCTTCTCTCGACGACAACGATGATTTTAACGACCATAGCATTAGAGTTTCAAACAAAGTCGTGTTTTTCTTCATCCTCCCAGAAACACAAACACATTTTGGATGTCCACCGGGATGTTTCCCCAGGAGTTCATCATTCGCTTTGCTGAAAACACGGGGATTACCGCTGTGACAGTGGATAGCTACAATGGTATGAACAGCAGAAAATATGGCAACACGGTTGAGCATTTATTCTTTAATCTTAAAATCAGGTATTATTTTCTCCCACTAGTTTGTGAGAACACTGCATTAGTTTTCAACAAATACTTTCACTACAACTTGAGGGACTTGCCTGTCTAGTTTAGAGAACAAGTCATAGTCAGAAAATTTGCTGCACTAATTTAAAAGTTGTGCCTAGCTTTTTACGACACAACACCACTGTTTTGTTAACCAGTCAAAACAAATTGTGCCCACTAATTGATTAGTGACTGTCAAATAAACGCACGTGTCAACTAGTGCAACCTAAAAATGTAACTACTTGACTTGTAATCTACAAAATGCCAATTAAAAGCCAATTAGCTAGTGCAATCAAACGTGCAGGTTGCACACCTTCATCAACTTCCTTTCTTTCGTTTTTTTAACAACAAAAAAGCTTTTATTTTGATAACCCAAAACGTGTTGTTTCTGATTTATTTAATTTTTTTTATTCAAAAATACAATTTATTTCTTCTGTGCTGTTTTACAGTGTCTGACTATTTAATTCAATCATTTCTTTTTCTATTTTGTTTTCAGTCAAACACCTAAAAATAGAAAAGAATAACTCACCAAATGTTTCTCACTTTGAGTCGATCACAGAAAAAGGTGAGAAAAAGCATTTTTTGGCGGCGTTTGTTTTTATATTTTTATTCGAACAAGAAGAAATCTGATCAAGACTCACACGCTCTTTTTCTCTTACAGAATTTGAAAGAACTGAGGGACGTCTTCAGTCAAATGTTATTTCTGTAAGTTGGAACGCAAAAGCGTTTTGAAATAACTGATTACCATTTTTAATCTTAATAATGTGTTTTTTCTCTTTCAGCTAAATGTCAACAGTGCAACCCACCTTCGATTTATCATCACCTCAGGTTTTGACCACTTTGTATCAGTGCACAGAGTCACAGTAAAAAACTGACATACTTTCAATGTAAAATTGGTAACAATTAAATTATAACATAAATATACAAATGTTGCTTTGTGCCATTGTGTGGAAGTAAATCAGTATATTATACTGTAATTCTCTCAGCATATTTGCAGAAGTACCAGTGCAGGCAAACTGTAGGATTGAAAGCTGTACAAGATTTTTAAACCCTGCATCTAATTCCAACATTTTCTTGAAACCATTTCTGTTGGTTTTGCTTATGCAACGTTATGGATTTACTTATGAAGCTTTTAGCCCATGCACATTTGACTGTTCCTGCTAATTTCACAAGCAGATAGTTGGCACGGCTTTAGAATAAACGAGTCGGATTGTGTTGATTGGCAGAATTACTTACAAAGGGACTTTCTCCCTATGAGAGAGATAGAGTTAATTAACTAATTTTGAGCAGCGGGGGTTTATATTGGCGCTGGTACAGTGCTCCTCACCACCCGTCAGCCTCTTCCCCATGAGCTGAATTCAACATCCCCACGGACATGAATAATCATGGGTCACATCGCCTTTTTTGGTGGGGTGGGGTGGGGTGGGGGGGGCAGGGACCAGATGGCATCTCAATCAACCAGTGACTGTCTAACCACAGGCTGAGGGCTTATTTACACAAAGTCCTCCAGCAACCACCTACACATACTGTATAAGCGTTGTACACATGCTTGCACAGAAACACAAACACTGACTCCTACTCCCCTCATTGCCATTTTGACTTGTCGGTGGCAAAAGCTTTGGCGGCATATGAGGACCCTTTGGGACTCCCTCTCCAATTACTTGCTGACTGCAGAGGAGCTTGGGAAATTTGCAGAGGCAGTGTTTGCTAAAGCTTGGTCTGCATACAAGACTCCGAGTAAACCAATAAAATATGAAATACATGCCTGAATAACTGGCCCCCTGATATTTCGGAGCAACTAATTGCTCAGGGATACGACCGGGTTGGAGCACATTTGAGTATGTGAGTGTGTGGTGAATAATGAGGGCAAGGTAGAAACCAAAACAGTGTTATTGACTCATTCATTATTTACCAGTGTGGAATATTTACTGTTATCTCAGAGGTGAAGCTTTGGCTATGGATTAAAGTTCAAACTTGTGTTTAATATGAACACTATTTTATCTTTCAACAGTTGTTTGAATTATGAATGTGTTACATTTGTTTGCTGCGAATCTTCAAGCAAAAGTCTGTTTTCGTATGCCGAACAGGTTTGCCACAGCACCTCCCTGTAACTAATGAATTCAAGCCCTTTTTTGTGCTTAACTGTCAGCCGATCAGAAGAATCTCAGCAGGATATGAGTGCATTATTATCATGTCACAGCAGGGCAGGCAGAGCCAGATTATCACCCTGTTGTCTCTGATTGGCTGCTGTCCAATCACACTGGGACATCTGCTAGTCCAAAATAAATAAATAAATAAAAGGTCCATGAAAAGGTATGGTCACTATAACTATCATATATAAACAAAACAATTCAGATGCAGTTGAAGTTCAAAGTTTCAGCTTTAATTCAGTGGGTTGAACAAAATGATTGCATAAAAAATGTGAGGAACTAAAGCATCTTTTAAACACAATCCATTCATTTCAGAGGCTCAAAAGTAATTGGACAGATTAAATAATTGTAAATAAAATGTTCATTTCTAGTACTTGGTTGAAAAGCCTTTGTTGGCAATGACTGCCTGAAGTCTTGAACTCATGGACATCACCAGACGCTGTGTTTCCTCCTTTTTAATGCTCTGCCAGGCCTTCACTGCAGCAGTTTTCAGTTGCTGTTTGTTTGTGGGCCTTTCTGTCTGAAGTTTCGTCTTTAACAAGTGAAATGCTCAGGTTGAGATCAGGTGACTGACTTGGCCATTCAAGAATATTCCACTTCTTTGCTTTAATAAACTCCTGGGTTGCTTTGGCTTTATGTTTTGGGTCATTGTCCATCTGTGAAATGATGACCAATCAGTTTGGCTGGATCTGAGCACACTTTATGACTCTGAATACCTCAGAATTCATTCAGCTGCTTCTGTCCTGTGTCACATCATCAGTAAACACTAGTGACCCAGTGCCACTGGCAGCCATGCATGCCCAAGCCTTCATTATTGCAATCCCACATTATTACGAATAACTTCATTTCTGGACATTTATGGTTTGATTTCTTTGTATGTATGGATCACTTGGGTTGTTACCAACATCTGGTGAAAATTTCATGTCATTAGCACCTCTAGTAATATATTTACGGAGAAAAATGGTGACGTGTTCAATACTTATTTCACCCGCTGTAACTATCACATGAATATGTTTCAGTAAACAGGTAAAAAAACAAAATTTGTGTCAGTGTCCAAGTATATATGGACCTAACTGTGTGTATTTATACATACATAATTACTTCTGACAGTATGTAATTAAACTGATCCACGGTGACACAGCTGACATATCTTTCTAGAAACATATTAACAGATTGCATAAAACCTCGCATTTTGTGCCATTGTTAAAGTATTGGTGATGTTTCAAACAATATTTTGAAGAAGAACCCCCAACGCCCCTAGCTCCATTATTTTCTTTCATGCCAAACCAATTTGTGTTATCTCTTTAGTGTGGCCCCCCATTTTCATGTCAGTGACAGAGGCACACACTCCAACAATGGGGCCTTAATTTGATTTCAGCGTTGATTTGGTCCCATCAGCTCATTTATGACAAGAGCTGAGACGCAAAGGGCTGTTGTGCGAGGAAGGAAGCGCTGTCAAAAGGCAGAAATTATATAATTAGATCGGGGAGGGAAACAATATTGTCATTATTTAAATTCCAAGAGGAAGGAAGAATGGTAATGAGGGATTGACAAAGAGTGCAGATGAAGAGGGCTTTGAGTGAGTTTACATCTATACGCTTTACAAGTTGGGCTTCACATATTAGTTTCTGAATATAACTCGTCTACACGTGTAGAACTGCAGCACAGTATAAAAAACATTTGTCACCTGTCAACCTTTCTACAAAAAAAATGAAAGAAGAGCATTAGAAAGGGAACCTGCAACATCTTTGTTGCTGTTTGGACACACACACACACACACACACACACACACACACACACACACACACACACACACACATCCTTAAAGTATTAATTTAGATCTTTTGAAGTAGGGCTTTGAGAAAAGGATATGAATAATTAATATCTTACCTGTTATAGAGAGTTTTTAGTGAACGTTTGGAGAAACATTAAATCTGACAAGATCGATGAGCTGATCAGAAAGTGGCCAAGCTCAAATGGATGGCTCAAAACAACATCAGTCTTTCAAATTTTACAGCCATTCATGCAAACACTACTTAAGAAACCTTTTTCATTATGCAACTATTTACATGAAATTCTGTGGTTGTTTGCAAATACAAATGTAGCAGCAACAGCTGTAGCATTTCGAGTTCAATTCAGGGCACTTCTGGCAGAAATGATGTGTGTAATGGATGGTGGTGAAGGTTTTAATTGTTGACGGATGGCAGTAATCCTTGTTTGTATCAGCCCCACTCAAACGTGCCATTAACTCTTCAATCAGCACTGATTTATAAACTTTCTCTAATCTGAGGATGTTCAGAGAGAGCTATCTGAAACAGCAAAGATATTTAATTTTCTAAACTTTTCACAAAATTGGATCCAAACCATCCTTTTAAGGTCTTCCTCAAAGTTTGCAACCTGCTCTGAGTCTTATGATTTTCAGTTTTAATCCTCGATACCATCCTCTATTTTATCACTTTTCTGTACTAAGCATTGGATTCAAAGGATTTATTGGCCACTTAAGTTTGAACACAGATCACCTCAGTTTCACTCAGTTGGTTGGACTTTAAATATCCCAACTGTATGAGCTAATATAAGTCAATGATGGGTAGCTAAGCAATCTTAAAACCTTCCTGTTACCTTCCTGTTAACAGATTTGTAAAGTAATGTGCTTATATTTCTTCCTGCATGCTCTTGTCATGCTCTGAAAGAGTGGAAAATCACATACCACTGTATAATATCGTCATCTAACTTCCAGTGAATAGAGCAGCTAGACAAAAAGACATAAGTGAGTCATCACCTTATCTTTCCTCAGTATTCTTCTGAAATTTTTCAACAAACACACAAAGGGAATCAGTTTTTGTGCTCAGGTTCCATAAAAACTGACCTGAAATACACCCTCTCTCTATTTTGCTGTCTGGATTTCTGTGTCTGGAAATAACATGACACAATGAAAGTTTAAAAAAATGTTCATAAATTTGTTTCAAGCATTAGCCTCTAACCAAATCACAGATTGTTTACTTTTAATAGGTTTTAACGCCTAAGTGTGTGCATTGAAAATGTTGTAGCAAACAAATCAGGTTCATTATAAAGATGTACACAGTTAAGCAGTAGTCTGGTTATTTTTAAATTGATGATCTGGTAAATAGTTATTAATAGTTAGCATGTTATCAGCTGTGACATCAGCAATAGAGAACAGAGTACAGAGAGAAGGGTGGAAGTCTTCCTCCATGATAGGCTAATATAGTCAAACAAGTGTCTGTTTTTTTTTCTTCTTCTTTTTTTTTCAGGCTTCTAAAACATTTTTGTCCAAAATGTCAGGCTGATCAGCATGTCTAGTCACTCAGTAAAAAAGTTAAAAAGTCTACATAACCCAGTTTTTTGCGATATAAAAAAATGAGATCATAATAAATTATTCAGAATTTTTTTTAATGTGAACTCTAACAACTCAATAAAACATACACACACACACACACACACACACACACACACATATATATAT